CAGCAAATTGAACGGTGTTTAATGGGTGGATCGCGTACGTGGTATAAACAAGGGCATCGAAGTCAACCACAGCCCCCTTCACAGATATAAGCACAATATAGTGAGATCCATCGGGAATGGAGGTATTGCTATAGCCTAGGACACTGCCAACTCCGGGTTGCGTTGCCTCCGTTGCCTCCGGTTGAAAACTAGCGACGTAGTCCCCGTCGATATGGATTGCGCACACGTATGTGTGCATCGTGGCAAAATAAACTGCGACAGTGGTTCCTGGACCGAATCCATTTTAGGTATGACTTATGGGACGAGTTGTTACAAACTACCTGTGAAAGTGATCGTGATCTTCCCAGCCATCGAGGTCGTGGTTCCATTGATCATTTGGCTGTAGTCATTATTTGACGTCGATGCTGATACTGGGAAGCAGCCTTTCAAGCTGCAGCGGACGGGTGAGGCGTTCGGATCGTAAAGGTGGTACCTAATAGAGGGATCTGTGTCGTCGATGGTATGGTTTGTAAGCAGCATAAGCCCGAGTGAACAAACGGATTGAGACACGAGAAGAAAGAGTGTGGGGAGCGGCTTGAGGTTCATCCTAGTAGGAGGCTCGAGGGAGGAGCGTCACGTATATGTTTGGGATTTTATAAGGATGCACCAGATATAGGCCAATACAACGGTTACCAACGGATCGTTCAGTCCTAGCTCGACGAAACATAAGATGGACTGTTAGATGACAGTTGTGGGACAGCAACGAGACCTCTTCTACCTCAGGTTCATCGTCATCATGTTCGATAAATTCATACGCATCCTTGGCGGATCTTCAGGTAAGTGGATCGTCGTGATATTTTTCAACAAGCAAGGTACGAGCTTCATGTTGAGGTGTCTGTCTACGAGAGACTACCGATATTTACTGACTGCCCAACGAAGACGTTTTGGAAATGTACAAGGCGGTTCCAGAGGATATTCATAATCAGCGCATGAAGAAAAGAGATCTACCATCAAAACAAGTGACCGGCGCTGGTGGCATCCTTTCGATGGACAATTTCAGGAATTGAGTTGGATGGCTCAAGGATGCTATATACCAGGCGTCGTAAATCAAGTGAGGCGATCTTCCCGGAGAACAACGATTTCGCCTCGCTCCTGACAACGAGTAAAGTAATAACCGTTCTCGACGGCTTAAGAGGGATAATTGAACAGTAGAGGGGCCTCGAATTGCGTTTTTCTCCGTGACGCACAGCTCCCAGGAGTGCACTCTAATGCACTACAGTCGTGGGAGTCGGGACTCGAACCTGCGACAGAATCAGCCGTGAAGTTGATCCATAAATGAAATGATATCTTTCACTGAAGACACACCTCGTGTGACTACATATTTTGGGGGAAACGGATCATCATGGAGACATGGGAGTTCAAGAAATCAAGGGAGCTAAACAGAAGAAGGGATCACATACCACGCCCTCACGCGACACAACCTCGCAGCATTTTTCCCTGTTTGGCTTCGGATCCAGCGCGTCAGTCACGTGAATGCATCAGTTTCTCATGCTATCGCCACTGCTTGCGGCTCTTGACTCAGCAATGACTGGCTTCTCAAGTTTGTTTGTTTTCGGAATCCTTGGAACCCAGGCTCAAGCGTTCGTTTGGCCGGTTGCCAGGTTACCCTTCCTGACCCGACCTACTCGGACTTGCGTGCTATGCCCTTCATTTATGGACGAGTGATATGTTTTGAAGAGCAGTCCTCGAATGTCGGGACGATTTATTGCTCACCTGAACCTCCTCGGTACTATATGCACGGCCGTTCAAGGCCGACCGTCGAATTGCGGGCGGCTTTGGCATGGTGGCTTGGTAACTGGATGACCATTGCAACGCGGGTTTCGGTGCTTCTTTGTCACTCCGATAGTCGCCGTAGTCGGCCACATATATTGATCTAAGTAAGCCCGAGAGCGGGATCTCATACCGTAACCGCAATCTACATGGTATGTGTTACCATTTTCTTGACGAAGAGCATAACTCCGGACTTAGATGACTACTGCAGCGCCTAATAGATTCACGCCTTGCCATTCGGATATTGGCCAGCACCGGCCACACTTGTCTATCCGTAAACCCGTGGTCGGCAGACCGCAATCTGCGAGGTATGTGGGACGTTTCCTATTGATTTTCTTGAAGTGGAGTGGCTACATCTTCCAGAACCACGAATCGCACCCCCCCTCGTATCGAAAAGAATACCTGTGGTCGAAAATTCTGTATGTTTGCATTGAGCCAGCTGTAATTTGTACGCCGAAGATGTGGTATGTCTTTCTGTTTTCGACATGCTAGCCCATCTCACGTGTCCTTGTAGCCGAATCTATTGGAGTATTGTGTATAACTTGGGCGCTCGGTCGGCTACCATTCCAGGGCCCGCGGCCGATATAAAACCACACTCGGGGTCCTATTTTTCTAGTTGCTCCTCCCCTCCCCTGGAAAATGTGCGGTCTCACAGCTGTTTTTCATCCAGACGGCGTCGATAGACCATCGGCCAAGGGCCTCGAAAGTCAACTCGAAGAGTCGCTCGAGATCATCAAACACCGTGGCCCTGACTCAAGGGGTATCTACATATCGCCCGATCTTCGCGTTGGTCTGTATTTCATATCCTAGATTTTCTTCGAGCTTTCGCCTCACGGATGTCATTCTAGGGTTGGGGCACCTTCGATTGTCGATAATCGACCTCTCCACCGGCCAGCAGCCCATGTCCGATGAAGACCAACTCATCCACTGTGTAGTCAACGGAGAGATATACGACCACGAACGCATCCGTGGCGAACTGGAGAGCGAAGGGTACTCCTTCAAATCTAAATCCGACTCGGAGCTTGTAGTGCAACTGTTGGTCATGCTGGATTCTTTCAATGTCTACGGTCTTACTCTATCCCTAGGTACAAGCGAGATGGAATCAATCTCCTTTTCCACCTGCGCGGCGAGTTTGCATTCGTGCTGTACGATGTTAAACGACGACTCCTCTTTGCGGCCCGGGATAGATTCGGCATTAAGCCACTTAATTATACGGTCTCGAATGGTCGTATTCTGTTCGCCAGCGAGATCAAGGCTTTCATGGGACTTGGTTGGAAAGCGGAGTGGGACATTGACAGCATAGTGCATAATGGCGAGGTCGGAGACGAGCGGACGGTGTTCAAGAGAGTTCACAAGGTACCCAGCCCACTCTTCAAATTTCAAGTTTCGGGAAAGTGACATTTCTCCAGTTGGCCGCGGGCCATTTTGCACTCTGCGGAGCTTCTGGATATATCCGGACTGAACGGTACTGGGATATGAGTTTCCCAGCCGCAAACGCTCCTTCCCCTTCGACGGTCGATTCGTGAGCAACGAACCCGAATCCGTGTAAATTTTCTCAACATCGTTAGAGGACGAAACGACTGATGAGTCGCCGATTGCGGCGCGAACTGCCAACTACCTTGGAGCTGAAATAAAATTCGTGAACGCGACCGAATCAGCACTAATGGGAGTATTTGAGGAATCGATATGGCACACGGAAATGCCCAATACAACCTTCCACAGTGCTGGTAAGATTCTGCTGTCGAAAGCGGTCCGCAGCAATGGATACAAGGTTTTTGCTTCATTCTTTTGTGTGCCACCCTAGGCCTAATTCCCCCATATCCAGGTCGTTCTGTCCGGCGAGGGTTCCGATGAAATTTTTGGTGGCTACCCCTGGCTTCTCCTTGACTACCTGCGAAGGCCCGACCCCGCCGCTGCGGGTCTGGGGATCCCTCTCCCTTCCGACGCCGAACGCCTCACCATATTGACTGACCTCGAGCGTGCCCCTGGTGCTCCCCAACTGTCGAGCGTGAATGTCACTCTGGATCAGTCCACTCTCATCAAAGTCAGCGCGCACCATGTAACGACAATTTTGACTCCGTTCTACCGCCCGATGTTCCATCCAGACGTCGTTGAAGTTGTGGGAGCCCCCGAGATTGCGAGGTGTATCGCGGAAGGCCTCGATCCCCGTGTTCGCCAAAACTCGATCTCAGGCGCGTGGCACAGTCTGAACGTATCCTTGGTATACACCCTCCGTTTCAGTACACAACTCACCACGCTGACTGGCCGGGTCTAGTATGTTACGGTGAAGGCATTTCTCGGGAGAATCATTCTAAACCAACTCGGCGATCGAGCCGACATGGTCAATTCCATTGAAAGTCGTGTCGCCTTTCTGGATCATCATCTCGTCGAATATATCAACACACTGCCACCGTACGTGCTCTTTCTTGTCTTCCGCCGCGACTCGCGTCTCAACTTTTTAAATCCAGCTCCGTGAAAATCATGCCAATCGCGGGAGACAAGCCTGGTACATGGTCCTTCACTGAGAAGTGGATCCTCCGCCAGGCTGTCAAACCGTTTGTCACTGAGGAGCTGTATCGCCGCAAGAAGGTGCCTTTCAATCCGCCTCCCCGGCCAGCCGGGACAGCCGGTCCCCTCCCTCTCCAATTACATCTCAAGGAGCGCATCACCCAGGAAAATGTGGAGAAGCTGGGGTTTTTCAACTGGTCGTACATCCGAGACACCCTTGCCGACTACTTGGAGTTTCCCGGCTTCCCTGCGCATGGCGCGATTGATCATCGGGCCCGAATTTTGCTCGGTGTCCTTAGCTTTATTGTTCTGCGTGAGCGTTTCAACGTACCGACTCTCAAACTGGGATTGTAACATCTTATTCAATTACGGCTGGGCATCTTCGCCATTCCCATTCACTTTACAACTTAGAGTTATCTGTCACATCTTACCCGTCAAAATAGAGTGCTGTTGACTCCCTCTTTGTCCATGAACAGATCCACGAGGAGACAAGAAAGTCTATTAGGAGTTTATTTTTCCTTTACAGCAATAGGAAAAGTTCTGAAAGCTCTTCCTGCTCCATCCTTCATTGCCCGAGATGCTGACGGTTGGTGTTTGGCAAGACCTGGTGCGCGCTAACCCTGTGTCCATTCTGTTCGTAGCAGAATTGAAGGGACACCGAGCACTGGAGAGCGTACATCGACAGCACCGTAGCACAGCTGGAAGTGCGCCGGTCTCATATCTCTTCCCCTGGGGGTCCTGAGCAATCCGGAGGTCGCTTGATCGAAACAAGCCGTTGCTATCTTTTTTGCATGCTCTCCAGCGCGCACAGCAAATATGTGTGTGACTCATACACTGGATCCATGACTCAGGAATAGCGGGAGCTCGAGTCAGAGCGGAAACGCGTAGACACCACACCCATTCCCAGATTTCTATGGGTCGGAGTAGTTGGAGGGCAGGATAAAGGATGATATTTGTGGATTCTCTCCGGGGGTCGCCATCCATCCTCTCAGATCAATATTGTGCCTTGTTTGGAGCTGGTTTCAACGCGTCGCGTCAGTCACGTGCTCTTTCCGACGGTTTCTTTTCTTTTCGCAACCTTCTCGTCACGACGGTCTAGTAGGGCTCACGCGCAAGTGCTCCTAGTGTCAATCTTGATGCTGTCTCCAATCTGCCTCTGGGAACGGCTCCTCCTCCCGATGCACTTTTTCGGACTCCAAGGTCGCCCCTTAACTCTCTCGAAGGCGAATAGATGGATGGATCTCGGGGATTCTGCGGAACGACAGAAAAAAACTGCACTTCACCAATCTATGGCCTGGCCTCGGTTCGAACGAGGGACTTTTTGCACCTGGAGAATACAGAAAGCGGGCGTCTTACTATTACACTCGACGGACGGAATATTCAAACTAGAAGCATTTATAGAGAGAGGTACACTGTGTCTTGCCATAATCATACATATGCATATCGTTCCTACATATACACGCACCCGCCGGCGCCTCCGCCCCACCCACTTACACTCCCTCACCCACTCACCCGCCCTGATATGTATGCGCCGCACCACTATACACCCATTCCCTCACCCACGCATTCGCACCTAACGGCTAACGCCTAATACGCGCTGACCGTCGCCGGGCGCCCGTGCGGGAACACCTGCTTGAACAGCGTGGGGTAGTGCCGCTCCGCGACGTCCGGGTGGCTCCTGTCAATGCGCTCCGCGTCAGTCGCCCATATTCAGATAAATAGAAATCAAAGAGGGTAAACGAGTCCGATGATCAATGAGTAAGAAATGAACCGCAGCGAAAGCTGAAGAACATGCCGGCGAGCGCATAGGGAGGGCGCGCATATCAAACACGGAGGAAGAGGAGAGTAGAAGAGGAGGAGGAAAGAAGCACGCACTTGACCCGCCCAATCAAATTAACGCGCCCCGACGGCTCGCGGTCGAATTCGCTGAAGTTGACCGCTGCACACACCCTCGTCAGCTCAATTCCAACATAGAACAAATAAGGGAGAAGGGAGGAGGAGGAGGAGGGACGCACAGTCGGTGGCGGGGAGGGCGCCGCGCGCGTCGCGGAGCGCGAGGATCTCGGCCGGGACTGTATGAAATAAAATGTCAATTACGCATGCATTGAATGACAGAAATAAAGTGGGAAGCGAAAGGAACATTGAGTGAGGAGAGAGGAACGCACGGTCGAGCACATGCTCCGCGACCTTCACGTTGAGGCCGATGTTCTGGAAGAACGGGACGCTGTAGCGGGGCCCGCCGCCGCCCGAGGGGGAGAGCACGCGGTGTGAGGTCGCGCGGGCGACGCCTTGGGTCGCGAATTCGAGGGCTGAGAGAAGAAAATACATGAATTAGGACAACGATGAAATAAGTCGAAGGACACAAGAACGCACCGCGGCCGATGTTGACGACGAACGTGCCGGGGATGGGCGGGGCGTCGATCCAGTCGCCCGAGAGGTTCTGCACCTGCAGGCCCTTATGCTCCGAGGCTTGGAGGAGCTGCGCACAGTCAGTCCGAGCACCAATCTAACCAAAGAGGTAACACACGAAGGTGAGGAACCCCGCGTCGTAGTGCGGGCCGACGCCCTGGCTCTCACTGGTGCCGTCGGTCTGCGGGTACTGTACGATCTTGGAGCGGTGCTGCATAAACTCCTCGCTCTCGTAGAACACCGACAGCGCGTCGGACGGCAGGTCCAGCGCCTCGGCAAGCAGGCGGACAAAGTCGTAGGAGAGCGTCTGCACCTGCAGCAGGTAGCGCTCCATTGTGGTTCTAAAGCCCGGGAGCAGTTCCTCATCGGGCCACTATCGCGGAGTCGCGTTATCGCATTGGTTTTTAGAGGAGTGAGGTGAGGTGCACACCTGCGACGGTCCCCAAATGCTCCAGTAGTCAGGGTCGCCGCGGCCCTCGACCTGCACGGCACACATGCGGCGTCCCGATGTCAAACTGCTCACGCCAGTCCGCGCGCCCCTTGGTGTACTCCGCGCCGAGCTTGTTGTAGCCTAGGAAGTGCTTGCTGTTCTCCATGGCGATCTTGTCCTTCGCCGCCTGCGGGAGCGCGAAGAGGCGCGGGATGTACGATTTGAGCGCATCCGTCTCGACGGGCACGTTCGCGAGGTAGAGGAAAGCCGACGTTGATGAGCGCGTGCTGTAGCTCCTTGATGAACTGCGGCTTCAGCTTGGGGTCCGCGACCTGCGAGTAGTCGAGCACTGGGACGGACGAGAAGTTTGCGGATGCGGAGGCCATGGATAGATGGTTTGCAATCGGGCCCAGTGCGGCGCTTAAGTTTTAGATTACAGAGCCTCGAGGCGTTTGAGAAAGAATCGCGCCATATCGCGCGATCAGACCCACTCAGAGTCCAGCCTGCGCTGGAGTTTCTGGACTACCGCAGGACATTCGAGTGGGACAATCGTCTGCGGCCGTCTTGAGTATAGAACCACGAAGTGAAAGCAAGATGCAAGCTGGAAGGAAGCCGGAGAGAATTAAGGTGTCGGTGGCAAGGGTGGCAAACTGTCAGTCAGAGTTCGGCCGAAGTGAGCCGAACGCTTGCATTCTCCGTGAATCGGAGAGTACGCGTCGCCGTGTTGGGCGATGATGGCGTTCGCCGTGGACGCGCTCGGGAGGCTGGAGACAGAGGTAGGGGGAAAGGGAGAGAGGCGGGCGTTAGTGGTGGTACGACGCAAGCAGTTTTTCATACTCCACTGATCCCTCGTTCCGAAGAGGTCCGTGCGCAGGTCGGTGCACAGGCTGCCGCCAGCACGGCTGAAAGAAGTAAGTCCACTCAAAAGTCAGAATGATGGAGACAAGTTCGACATTCTGACGCACTTTTCATGAGATTCTGAAGTCGAGCAGATGACGGCAGATGTCGGCATAAATGGGCCAAGACAGTCCAGGTCTCGGCAGTTCTCGGCAGATCCGAACATGCGGGATTTTCCACTGGGACTCAGAGCTCTAGTGTAGCATGATTTATTCAGTCGTTCGTCCTCTGAGATCCTATTTCTATACATGTACAATCTCAGTATCTACAGAAGTTGAACAGAGCGCGTTGAACTTGCGTTGAACACAGCATTCATTGAACATCGTCTGAACCACGCGAATGCGACGAGTCTCTTTACAGAGGTCCGGGGCAAATATGCACGCTCAGGTGCTCCCTTGTTCTAATTCCGCTGCGCATATTACGCAATTGCAGCTCGAGGGGTGTGCATCCTCTTCTCGATGAGGGTCGGACAAGTGGCGGATGAGCAGGAGCGGCCGACGAATGGCGGATCATCCGCCGACTAAATCTAGACAAGACATTGGGCGCCGTCGGAGAACTGCCTAAACCTCAGACTGACAGCCTTTTGCCACGTTCCGTACCTATTAGCCTTCAATATGACAGCCTCATCAGACACCCAGTCATCGAGAGCCCATATTTGATGGCTTGTTGACGCGTCTTCGTATCATCACATTTATGATAGTCTGTTGTCTTTCCGATTCATTCGGCTCTTTGTACTCCATTCTGGAGCCTGGAGAGACCCTTTTAGCCAACGGTAAGACAAAAATCTCCACCTAGGCGTCTACCTCGCATTTGGCCCTTCTGCAACACCACAGCTCAATCTCATTCGGCAATCAAGGTACGAGTATGCTCCGCCAACCTCGGCGACTGCCAGTCTGCCTGTCGCGCGTCAGAAAGGCACTTTGAGTCTTTGACAGCATATCGGTGCTTCACCGCGCCGTTCGTCTAGGAAGCGATATTCATATAAATACGAACCGTGCAGTCCGTCTTATGGTGAGTCAAAATGTTTATCTGGGCCCTCCTCCTCGTACTCGCTGGTGTTACCCAGATCTCGGCTCAAACAGTCACTCCAATTGGTGTGGGACCATGGACTTATCAAGGCTGCTTTGTGTGAGTACTGTATTCTGTCTTGCCAGTTGTGATGCTCACACTTCTGTCAGAGACGATCCTTTCCGTCAGCTTCAGGACCAGCAATTTGTCACCGGTGGTATGACAGTAGAGGCTTGTACCTCGGCTTGCAAAACTGCAGGTTTTGCACTGGCCGGCCTTGAATTTGGAGGCGAATGTTGTACGTCCCCATCTGGTACTGTAATGATCAACCTCATTCATTGCAATAGGGTGCGACTCGTTCCTGCAAGGCACATTGAATTTCGCAGACAGTCAATGCGCACAAATGGCCTGCGCGGGAAATTCCGCTGAAACCTGTGGTGGACCAAACCGTCTCCAAGTCTACCTGGACACCTCCGCTGCGCCTCCAGACACGAGCGTCTGTGTCGTTACCAGCAGTGAAGACTTTTCGCCCGTAGCGGTCGCGAAGAGTACTCCTGCTACCCAAACTCGCTTGAATCTCATTGATGTCGGCGTTGCTGGCACACATGCTTTTCTTCTGACTGGTGATACTTGTCCGTCATGCAAGGTCGAGGGTGATGTCCAGAATGGGGATCTCTATGTACTTTCCAGTCTTTATCCGGATGCTGCATTTGTGGAATTCTTCAACGCGACCACGGGAGAATCTCCAGTTGCTCGTGAACTCTTCAGCGTCGAGAACACTGTCTTCTGTGCGCAGGTAAGCTTCAAGTTACCCTACAACTGGAGCCCTCTGATAGCTCGTTCCAGATCAGTCCGGTAACAGGCAGAATCGGACCACTTGTTGTTGCAGCCAACGGCCATTCTGATCTCTGGGCGCTATGTCCCAACACCACGGCAGGACTTCGGTCTGATTTGGTGTATTCCCCCGTTTCCAATCATCCCCATTACACACTGAGCAGCTGTGAGTCTGTGTGGTTTACAATGGTCTGGTTCGATCA